CTCCTTCCCAGTTCCCGGAGACACCGATAACGTCTAATTTAGGGACTTCGAGCCACCAAAAAGCTGATTTAAATTTCTTTTCTTTAAATTTCCTTTGTCATTCCTTAATAAGTACATAATAAGCTACAAAATTATGCTAAAAAATTTTTTAGCTCATAGGCACTTAAGAGTTTGTTCTAACCTACTATGTGGTGCCGGTATATTTAATTCCTCAGGAATGATCGAGAATTTTGTGAGTTTAGTTATCTCATCTTCTGGGAGTTGTAAAATCCAGTTCACCCACTGATCGGCGTCAATATATCCTAAGCAAAGCAGTTTAATAATAAATTGACATTAAAATCATAACTGTCACAATAATACTAGGAGGTTTTTTTTAACCCTTTGATCCATGAGTGATCAGTATTTAATTTCTCCGTACAATATCACCCCTGAATCACACAAGAACATCATGAGAATAAAAAAAAATGATCACTAACTAAAGAAGCTCTTGATTTTCAAACAAATTCTCCTTGTTAGCAACGTAGGAAATGTATAGAGAACAGTATGGAGAATATGCACAATGATATTAAGTCTTTCTCTCCCTAAATTAACAACACTGGCATGTTACCCTGATCTTTGTTATCCAATGTCTTGACAAGTAGGGCTGCTCTTGAATTGGCGGTTTCCTGAACAGATGACAGAAATATTAATTAAAAGACAAGTATACTTGAATATCTCAGATGCCTTATGCACAGACTTTGACCTGTATGCAAGTAGGTGAGTTATAACAAATTCTGTGTTCTAGCAGGCAAGCTCTGGAGTGCTTTCTTTGATCCCACAGTTAAAAACAATGCTTTTTACTCTGAGAGGTGAGCACCTCTCCCAACAATTCCATCATTTTCTTACAAACAGGTTGTGGAAACAGACAAGTTTATCAGCTCAAGAGTGTTATCTTCGTGTAACGCTTAATTCTTGTTTAATTTACAGAGAAATGTAATTATGGTAATTAGTGAGGAGAATTCCTGATTCGATCCTGAGAGTACAAGGTTATCAAATGACTGCTAGATACTAGCCTCCTCCACTTTCTTTTTAAATATTAATTAACTCATCAATTTGATTTTGTTGTCTTTGCATTTTTCATATATTACCTTTATCTTGATCCATGGAAGAAAAAAAAACCACCAAAACTAACTTGAGAAAAATTCATGAATCTTTACATTAGACATAAACAGATTAATTTTGTGCATACTTCATCAATGGTGCTATCAAGTGACATCAAGATCTGTTGTAACACTGGGACGTCCAAAGGTTGTGATTTGTTCAGCAATTTAAAAATCCCTAAAACAAGTGATACAGAAACAAGTTAATTCTTTGTTATGGCATTCATGAGTAAAAAAAAAAAATACCAAGAATGCTAGAATGAAGAAAATATTGAGTGCCAAATTCACAGTTTATTTCAAATAAAATTATCAGAAGATATCTCAAATTTTACAAAATGTCTTCTTGTCAAGAAAATTGTCTTTAAGTTACTTCTCTATGTGACAAACAACAGAACCTGAATACATCCTCTTGGAATATTTATTGAAACACAACCTGCCTGAAGCTTCAACCAGCCCCGACGCAAGACATTTTTCTTTCAGGGTGTGGTCAGGATACAGCAACACAAAGCTAATAAGATAAACTCATCTTTTGTTGACCCTATAACTCCTAGTAGTGATTAACATGTAACTTCTTCCTATAAAAATCCATATATTACCAGCAAACAGGTAATGAGAATCCTCCAACTTATCAGGTTAAAGTTATCTTGATCTTATGATAAATTCTCACAACTAATTTACAAGGAAATGTGTAGCAGCTAGAAGTGAGAATTAACAATCAGTGTTAATACCTGTATTTGTTAACATTCTTCAATGTTTATAACTTATAACAAATACCTGCTAGTTTCTTATCCAGTGGAGCAGTTTTCCACCACATCAATACACCAACAAATGCATGGAAGTTCACATTTCCATTCTCATCTCTTGGAAAAGTTCTCCAAATCTATAATTCAAATTGTCAAGAAAATATCTCAGAATTTCCACTATTTACTGGCTTCTTACGGCAACCCTTCTCACTATTGATAATTTTGTTCAATGACGGAGAAAGCAATTATTATAATCTTCATTATCAATAATTACTCCTGGTTATTACTCATTTGTGTATCTTCAGTGTTCCCAATTTAGTCATAGTTAGAGATGCTAATAAGTTTTCAACAATTAAAAAAAAGGGCTTTTAATCTTAATTAAACATTCATGAAGTATATTATGAAAGATCACCTGTCTTGCAAATGGATCTGATGTGAAAAGATGCTGTTGAAATGCTTCATTTGGTAAAGTTTGTTCACCATTGGGTCCAAGCTGCTGAAATCTGGCCCATAGCCGCTCAGCTTCTGCCACAGGAACTTTGGAAAAAAGTTGGTGAACTAAGTGATATTAAATTATTCCTTAAGCTTTCCATTCATTAACTGCACTTGATGATCTTGTATATTTGGTGGTAATGTTATAGTCCATCTAGCATGTTCATATACCATTAAACTTGGCCCTTTAACTCCCCAAAGTGATTAACATGTAACTTCTCCCTAAAACATCCATACATTATCCAGTTAACAGGTAAGGAGAATGCTCAAACTTGTCAGGTAGAAGTTGAATTAACACCAAATTCTCATAACTTTAATTTAAAAGGACATGCGCAGGAGTCAGAGGGGAGAATTAACTATCAGATCATGGAAGTTAAAGGATAAAAAGCAAAAAATAAAACCAGTTGATTACTGCTAAAAGAGAAACGTAAATAGCTACATATCAAGTTTTCTAGCACTAGAGCAAAGTGTTGCAGTCATCCACCTCTCTCGATCTCACTTCCAAAAGCAAGAAGTCATTCCCGATATTGCGTCTTTATTGCGGCTCTCGTCATCATCTAATTAGTCTCGCTGTAGAACCCTCTTCATTTGATCCATCATCATCAAGCTTTTCTTCTTCAATGGTGCTTGCAGTTTTAGTCGGAGGTGTATGATTCACTTTTTTTAAGTTTGATACAGAATTTCTCTTTGATAGATTTGACAGTCGTCGGGAAAAAAACTCATTTTAGGAGCCGGTAAGTTAAGAAATGTTTTTATGCACAGTTTTAAGCTCCCGCAAAGTAGCAAAAACAGTGTTCAACTATATTGCAATTACCTGAAAATTCCTCTGGGGATGTCGGCTCTATCTGAAGAAATAAAGGGTTTAACACCTCTTCTAGACCAGATTCTGCATCCACACGATTTATCGTCTCTAGCGCGGACTGATCGGTGTCTGCGTCACTGCCTGCATTCTCAGTGTTTTGTTGCTTTTTACTCCCCCGCAGAAACTTGAACATTTGAAAAAGATATTTTAAAAGTTGTTGAAAATTTTTTTCTGGTATTGTTTTATAAAAGGCGGCGTTCCAACACAGATTATTCCCAGCTGATTTTGATTTTAATGCAAATTTTATAGAACTCCAGCCGCCATGTTTGTTTTGAAATATCTTACAATGCACTGTGGGAATGTGTTTACGTCGCTGGGTGAAAGTTGCGACCGCGGCCTGAGTTGTCGTGATCCGTCCTCAAGGAGATTTTTAAGCTTGATGAATGAGTCTCAGAATCGAAAAAACTCAGTCAATCTACACATGCATCATCCATGTCGTCTTCTCCTCTAAACCAAATGTTTAAACCTGCCATTTGTCTTGGCGGTGTGATAATAGCCTTTGCGCTGTACTCAACTCGTCAAGTACCAATGGAATTTAAGTTTCAAATTTTAGGGTTAATTTTGTTATTTACATTTGTGATCAACTTCGTTAAGTCACTGATCTTAGTTCTGTGTACACATGTTCTCTTCATTGATATGCCTGACCCTGATAACTACGCGGCAGCTTTGCTGAGGACCTATCAGTCCAAGATGAACGATAATCTCCTTTCAAGAGTGGGAAGAAAAATATTAAAAAGTTTGGGACTTTCCTTGTCTCCGTTGCATATCGTTTGTGGTGGGCGTCGCGTTAACCTTGGGTTAGCGCACAAGAACTCATATGGAAGATTCTTTGATGAGTCTGCAAAATGCTGGTTGAATTGGGATCATAATGAACACATTGGGCAACATGAGGCAGAAAGAGATTTAATGTGGGATTCAAAGACAATTGATGATTCTTTCTTGGTTCTTAAGAAGAATATGTTCGACTTGGATTGCATCTTACAATCTGCTGGATTTACAGATTATGTCCTAGTTAGAGGACATATCGCCAAGGAGATTCCATTGTCATACTCACATCACGCAGATGAGTGGCGTTTTTACAACAATGTCAATAAAAGTTGGGTTACATTAGCTGATTATGACAAGTTATCTGACAGACGCTGTGATGAGTCAGACAATTGTCAGGATTTTGACCACCGGAGGAAACTAGCACATCACATTATAAACAAACTTACTGGTACCTCAGATTTTGAATCAAGCTGCATTGATTCACAGTGGTTGAATTTGGACCAGTTTCTTACTTTGCTGTCTAAATATTTAAAAATTGTCATCACTGTGGCTGGTCCAGCAACAGATATGGCATACTTGATTAAAAAGTCATTCAGTTGGACTAGTAATGTTGACAAAATAAGTGCGATGTGGGCAGTTTGTGAACTTGGTATGAATACAGGCAAAATGAATGTATGTGGAATGAATTTTAATGAAGCCGCAGATCTGGAAAGTGCAAAGTTTTTGTCATCCAAATATTTTTCTAAAGCAACATTTTCTTTTCTGCCCACTGAAACATGCAAAATGACACCACAATTTAAAGTGACTCAGGAGATGGCAGAGGAAATGAGAGTGCTACAATGCGTCAAGGATAAGATAGCGATATGGACTCATGTTAAAGGTGGAAAAACAGAACCTTTGTTTGATTATTTCATCTGTGAGTCCCCAGATATGACAGAAACATTGTTCAAGATGGGTCTCATAAAAGTGTTTGTGATCCCTAAGATACATGAAGGATACCTGATATTGTCACCATGCAAAAGTAAAACCAAATTCACTGCATGGGTGAATCCAAATGAAATGTTTAGGGTTTTTACATGGGGGAACTGCAAAATTTCTTTTGATGGCAATCACTGGTCAACTGCCAAGGTAGTTGACTCCCTTGGGTTAACCTGAGTCTTAATACATAACATAACATAACATAAACTTCATCTATACTCAAATTTTAGAATAGCTAACAAGCTAGTATCTTTGAGCTGAGACTATAAGTGTTTGAAAATCCTTACTGGCAGGAGGCAGACCAATAGGATATTTACACAGTGTAGCTGAAGAGTTAAACTCAAGGTAACCAAGAATAAATCCAGGGAGTGGCAAGGTGGAAGGACTCGAACCCGGTAAACCAGATTGCAAGTCCAGCACCCTAACCACTCAGCAAATATTTGAAGAAATACAATAAATGGTTTGAGGTAAAAGGTCAAGGATGAAGTCAGTTTCTTAGCCAAGTGACCCATCCAGCTGACCCATCCAGGTATTACATGGCATAAAGCTACTAGGAGTTTCCTTCTATACTCCCCCCTCCCCTGATGGGATGCCAGTCCATCACAAGGTTACCCCCAAGAATTTCATCAGGCTTCCCTGGCAATTTGCCAGTATCCATTTATACCACTTGGGTCA